GGGGGTCGTCGTTCCTCACAGTCATTCTTGGCCCATCCTGTCAGGGAGTCGGTGCCAAGGCTCCCTCTAAGCTGTGGGGTCCTGTGAGCAAAAATTCTACTTGGTGAGCCACTGGCATTAAAGCTGTGAGGGACCGATTTGGCTACTGCATAGATTAGTTTGCTCCGGGGGCCCTCCTTCCTGAGCCAAGACAGAAATGGGTAAGCCATAGGCTAAAGAACTGTGAGCTGGCTCACACTAACTCGGCTTAGAGGGAACACTGCAATGCTCCCTCTAGGCTGTGGAGTCCTGAAAATTCTACTTGGTGAGCCACTAGCATTCAAGCTGCTGTGAGGGAGCGATTTGGCTCCTGCATCAGTTAGTTTGCTCTGGAGCCCTCCCTTCCTGAGCTAAGACAGAAATGTGTGAGCCGGAGGCTAAAGAGCTGTGAGCTGGCTCACACTGACTCAGCTCAGAGGGAACACTGGCTGCTGCATGAATTAGTTTGCTCTGGAGCCCTCCTTCCTGAGCTAAGGCAAAAATGTGTGAGCTGGTGGCTAAAGAACTGTGAGCTAGCTCACACTAACTCAGCTTAGAGGGAACACTGCTGTGGAGTCTTGTGAGCAAAAATTCTACTTGGTGAGCTCCTGGCATTAAAGCTGTGAGGGAGCGATCAGGCTACTGCATCAGTTAGTTTGCTCTGGGGGCCCTCCTTCCTGAGCTAAGACAAAAATGTGTGAGCCGGAGGCTAAAGAACTGTGAGCTAGCTCACACTAACTCAGCTTAGAGGGAACACTGCTGTGGAGTCTTGTGAGCAAAAATTCTACTTGGTGAGCCACTGGCATTAAAGCAGTGAGAGAGCGGTTTGGCTACTGCATCAGATTGCTTGGGAGCCATCCTTCCTGAGTTAAGGCAAAAACGTGTGAACAAAACTGCTACAAAACTGCGAGTTGGCTCACACTAAATCAGAGGGAACACTCATGGCTCCCTCTAAGCTGTGGAGTCCTGTGAGCAAAAATTCTACTTGGTGAGCCACTGGCATCAAAGTTGTGAGCGAGCCGTTTGGCTACCACATCAGTTAGTTTGCTCTGGAGCCCTCCCTCCTGAGCTAAGGCAAAAATGTGTGAGCCGGAGACTAAATAACTGAACTACCTCACACTAAACTCAGCTTAGAGGGAACAGTGCAACGCTCCCTCTAAGCTGTGGAGTCTTGTGAGCACAAATTCTACTTGGTGAGCGACTGGCATTAAAGTTGTGAGGGAGCAATTTGGCTACTGTATCAATTAGTTTGCTCTGGAGCCCTCCTTCCTGAGCTGAGACAAAACTGTGAGCCGGAGGCTTAAAAACTGTGTGCTACCTCACACTAACTCAGCTTAGAGGGAACACTGGTCGGTGCTTGTGGCTTGAAGCAAGGCAGCCACATCGGCCTTGTTATTATTATAAAGGGGGGGGGGATACTGGAGCCTGAGAAATCTTGGTCTCTGAGGCAGTGTTCCCTCTAAGCTGAGTTAGTGTGAGCTAGGCTCACAGTTTGTTTAGCCTCTGGCTCACACATTTTTGTCTCCAGAGCGAACTGATTTATGCACAACTTTGATGCCGGTAGCTCACAAAGCAGAATGTTTGCTCATAAAACCCCACAGCTTCGAGGGAGCATTGCTCTGAGGTCCTCCTGGGCTTGAATCTAGTGCTGCTCCTGCAGACCAACATGGCTACATAAGGACTTCAGAGAAGCCAATGTTGGATCAGGCCAATGGCCCATCCAGCCCAACACTCTGTCACACAGTGACCAGAAATACCAGGTGCCATGAGGCGGTCCACCAGTGGAGCTTCCCTTTGAAATTATTATTATGACTGCTGTTTTGGGACAGGGGATTTTTAATTATTGTAATTACTCCAGTATTTTGTTAGTTTGCCTGTACTCTGCTTTGATCCCCGAGGGCAACCCAAAGCGGTTTACAACACAGTTTTGCTCTCTTGTAGACCCAGGTGGGCAGCTGTGTTAGTCCAAAGCAGTAGAACAAAGTTTGAGTCTGGTGGCACCTTTAAGACAAAGGTTTATTCAAGGTATGAGCTTTCTTTTTTAAAAAAATAAAACATTTTTAAACTTTAATAATATATCCCCCCCAGGAAAAAAAATACAGCATTTACATATCAGAAAAGGGGAATCATAGAATGTTAGAGTTGGAAGGGATCTTGCAGGTCATCTAGTCCAACCCCCTGCACTCTGCAGGAGCATAGACGAAAGACAGCCCTGCAACATACCCGAAAGATGATTGTCCAGCCTCCGCTTGAAAATGTCCAGCGAAGGAGCATCCACCACCTCCCGAGGATGTCTGTTCCACTGCTCAAGCACTTTTACAGTTAGGAAGTTTTTCCTGATATTTAGCCGGTATCGACTCCCTTGTAATTTCCACCCATTAGATCTAGTCTTGCAATCCGGAGCAAGAGAGAATAGATCTGCTTCATCTTCTACATGGCAGCCCTTCAAATATTTGAAGACTGCAATCATGTCCCCTTTAAGCCTTCTCTTTCCCAGGCTAAACATACCCAACTCTTTCAGCCTTTCCAGAAAAAGGAGTCTTACTTATATCTGTCTAAACTCCAGAAAGATTTTTAAAAGGTCTGGACAACAATTTTAAAAAATGCGTAACTTTAGAAAGAGATTTTGAGGTGTGCAACAAAAGTATGAGCTTTTGTGTGCACGCACATTTCCTCAGATACATTGAAATGGAAGTTCACAGTTCATATATTTATAGGCAGATGCCTCTTCATAGGTGGACAGCAAATTAACATACCACTTAATGAAGATGAAGTGTGCATGCACACCAAAGCTTATGCCCAGAATTAAACCTCATTGGTCTTCAAGGTGCCCCTGGACTCAAGCTTTGTTCTGTTGCTTCAGACCAACATGGCCGCCCACCTGAATCTTTGAGGAAGGTTATGGCAAAAGAGGTCAACCTACCCAATGAGCTTCCACGGGCCTCCCAGATCCTAGTCCTACTCCAACACCAGAATATTTCAGTGAGTAGACTGGGATTATTAATATTCTTTGAAGCAGAACATTCGTCTTATTGAGCCCAATATTTTGTTGTTATGGCTTACGACCAGTGTTCCCTCTAAGCTGAGTTAGTCTGAGCTAGCTCACAGTTTTTTAGCCTCCGGTTCACACATTTTTGTCTTAGCTCAGGAAGGACGGCTCCAGAGCAAACTGACTTATGCAGTAGGCAAATCGCTTGCTCACAATGTTAATGCCCGTAGTTCACAAGGTAGAATTTTTGCTCATAAGACTCCACATCTTAGAGGGAACATTGCTTACGACAATATTATTATTCTCTGAGGGGGTAAGATAGGACAGAAATGTTTTAAATAAGTAGATAAATAATACTAGGATAGGAACTCTCAGGCTGGGGCAAGGGCTGCTCTATTCTTGGTGCTTGGGGGGGGGCAACAGTGGGAGGGCTTCTAGTGTCCTGGACCTCCTGATGGCACCTGGTATTTTTGGCCACTGTGACAGTCTGTTGGACTAGATGGGCCAATGGCCGGATCCAACATTGGCTTTTCTTATGTTCTTACTATCAGGGTGGGGTGTCAGACTAGGACAAGTTAGACCTGGGTTCAAATCCCCCTCTGAAATGTGAAGCTCGCCAGGCAATGTTGGCCAGTCATCACATGATCTGCTCCATGGGGTCGCGAAGAGTCGGACTCGACTGTACGACTGAACAACAACAACAAAAACTTCCATGTACATGCACACAAGAGACAGACAGGAAGAATCTTCTGACATGTTAAAGGCAAAGACATGTTCCTATGGGCAAGAGTCCACTAGATGCATCATTTGGTTCTCCTCCTCCTTCCTTTTCTCCTGTCTGCTGTTGCTTTAGTGTGCCCTTCTGCCAGCTATTTATTTGGAAGGAAATTACACTGGATCTTCGACGTCTCTGTGCTTCACACCCATGGGATCTAGTGCGCACGCGCTGGATCGATCGGTGCTGTAGCAAGCTCTTTTAACGGATTTTCGCGCCCAGTCCCTCGGGCATGTGCAGGAACCCCACCGCGCATGCCCAGAGGGGTGGGCACGGACATCCCACCAGTTCCTTTCTTACTGCCGCGTTGAGTAGACCTGTTTTTTTGTCGGTCAGATCGGTTCGCTTTTGGCTTTTGCCTCACAGCTCTTAGGAATTATTTCCTTATTCTAAATTTCCTCTCCTTTCTCTTTTTATTTGTTTGTTCTTCAAAAAAAACTTGTTTTAAAAATTATTTTCTGCTGAGGGGGAGTCTACTGATTACCTCAGGCCTTCAAGCTATCCCCCCCCTCAAACGTTCCCTCTTCTTCACTTTCTTTTATGGAGAAGAAGTGGGTTTTTTTCAATAGGTACAAGGGTTGCTGCAGCAAACGTGCTCCTCCCGACCGTCATGCCCTGTGCATTTTTTGTCTTGTAGAGTCTCACCAGCCAGAGTCCTGTCGTCACTGTGCTCGTTTTTCTAATCAAACGCGAAAAAACTGAGCTGCGCGCCTTAAAGTAGCACTGCTTGAATCGGCCCTTACTCCTACCTCAACGATGGAGGAGAGACCATCAACATCGACAG